ACAGAAAACGAGAAATCACCCCAAGGGGGTAAACATGCATGCACATGTGTCTGGCATGAGTTTCAAGCCTTTCCCGGTCTGAGACTCAAACCGTAATCAGCCATATGGGGTCCACATCTCCTGGCCCTGGAATCGCTTTTATTCTGAATGCGTAATTTGGCATTTTTTTCCTCTTCCTCTTAATATTATACAACTCCAACATTGTAGTGTAATGATCATTTTTCCAAGTCTTATTTCCTACAATAAGTTAATAACTTCCTAAACTAGGTGGTTCATCTATAATTTTTCTCAAATGTTTCTTTGATGTTATTCCTTATTTGTTAAAATGATAATCTCCCTACTACTGGCCAGAGAATTGGAAGGTGGGTGAGATTAACCTGTCATTATATGGTAGATGAATAAGTAGTCAGACATTTTTTTTTCCTCTGATATCTTCACATTCTGGTTGTTTTCATCAATTAATTACATTTCAGTTCTCTAGATTCTGAGTCACTTTATATCAGTTATCCAGAGGGGTCAGGAAAGAAAAGTTTGTTTCCATTTAAAGAAACGAACATGAAAAATATTTTAACAAATTACTGAACCTATCAACAATTCAAAAGAAAGTAAAATGTTTAAATTGGGAAAACAAAGCATAGTAAAAAAAAAAAAATCAGTAATGTTTTATTCAAAAGTCATAAAATTTTATTTTGCCAGTTCAGTCTTATGTTCAAACCTTCTTCTGTTGAATATGCTGTGTTGCTGTGGTCCAATCTTTCCGTTTAAATCCTGGAAGTTAACATTCAACATTATTATTGATATTTCTTGTCCTTAGCACTAAATTGATCATTTCCTTGGTTGCCTTTTGTTCTCTTATTTCTTTCTTTTCTTTTTTCTTTCTTTTTTTTTTTTTTTTTCTTTTTTTGGGGGGTTTTTCTTTGAGGCGGGGGCGCTTGGCACGTGCACTCGCCAGACTGACAGAAAGATAGAAAGCGAAAAATCACCCCCCAGGGGGGATGGCCACGCCACAATCCCTTCTCCTCCATTCTCCTCTCGGGATCTTGCTTGTGAAGGCACGCACATCCCACTGGCGTGAGCTTTAAGCCACTGGGTCCCGGACACAACCACCCAGGTCAACTCCGTGGGAGTCCAGGGACATAGCCATTACACTGCTGGTACCCATTGTTCTCTTATTTCTGTATTTGTCTTTAGTTTCCTGGTTGAGCACTCCTTTCAGAACTTCTTGAAGAGTAGGTCTGCTGCTGGCAAATTCTTTCAGGTCTTGTTTATCTGAGAATGTTTTTATTCTTTCTTTCCATATGAAAGATAATCTTGCTGGGTATAGTATTCTTGATTGAAATTTGTTTTTCACTTAATGCTTTGAATACATGTTTCCATTCTTTCCTTACTCTCACTATTTCTGATGAGAAATCTGAGGTTAGCCTGATGGGGTAACCTTTGTAAGTAACCAGACGTTTCTCTTGCCTTAGTATCTTGCGTTTGTCTGTAGATTTGACCAGTGTGGCTATGATGTGCCTTGGAGAAGATCTTGGGTTGATTCTATTAGGGATCCTTTGTATTTCTTGGGTCTAGATATTTGAATGCCTCTCTAGATTTGGAAAGTTTTCTTCCAAGATTTTATGGAATAGATTATCAATGCCCTTATTAATTTCCCCACCTTCTGTGATACCGATAATCTGGATGTTTGGGCACAAAGTGATAAAATTTCTAAGTGAATATGTACTTAATGATGTGATGGGAGTTTTGGAGTAAATGACAATAGCATTACTGTAGAAAATTAGAAAGAGAAAAGTGGTAATTCCCAAACTTATAAATAATTTCTATTAGCGTTTCTGTTGGTAACAATTTGAAGAAAATTATTTTGTACAGAATTATTTTATTCAGTAATTAAATATCTTCTCATGTTAGTATTATTTAAAAATCGTTATAATATTAAGTATGTATAATTTGCCTATTTTTGTTATCTTAACATTTTAAAAAATATTCATTTAATTTTATTTATTATTATTCAATTTGACAGGAGAGACAAAGGAAGCCACCAGGTTCAGGACTTGAACCACTGTCAGCCATGTGGGAGTCTAGCATCCTAACCATCATGCCACCTGGCAGCCCTATCTTAAATATTTTTACTAGAGGGACTAGCGGATGGCATAGTGATTACAATGCTAGACTTCCTCGCAGTTGACTGCGGTTCAAGTCTTGGACCTGGCAGCTTAAAATTCATGCCGGGTGTATGTGCATATGTGCCCAAAATCCTGAGAGGAGAAGGGATTGTGGTGTGGCTGTCTTCCCTGGATGGTGATTTCTCGCTTTCTGTCTCTGTCTCTCTCTTTCTGGTGAGCATGCTCACCCAATAGCAAAAATCTCTCTAAAAAAATTTTTTTGGGGTACCAGCAGTTAGTGTAATGGCTGTGTTGCTGGACTCCCATGTAGTCCACTGTGGTTCGAGGCTGGGACCCGGCGGTCCCAGAACCGGCAGCTTGAACTCATGCCAGGCGCGTGTGTGTGTGTGCGCGCGCCCAGGATCCCAAGAGAGGAGAATGGAAGAGAAGGGATTGCGGCGTGGCCATCCCCCCAGTGGGGGTGATTTCTTGCTTTCTGTCTCTCTGGCAAGTGCACGTGCCCTGGAGCAAAAAAACACAATTTTTTTTAACTAAGTTTAAAAAAAGGTTTTATTTTCTCTCATCATTCAAAATAAAAATATTATGTTGTTTGATTTGTTACTTTAAAGATAGCAAATGAGAATCCTTTTGTGCAGTAGGGTTATTGCTCTTACTGTTGAGAGTTTTAGGTTTAGGGAAAACCAATCATACTCAACGGCAGTATCCAGATGTGCTTTGTGAATGAACTGGGTAAAGTTTGAATAGATTTGGGGATTATTTATTGTATGTGAGTGTGTCTTAGACAGGACCTCACTGTGGTATGATACTCCTGCTTTAGTCCCGAGTAAATGGACTCCGGGCCTTTACTACTGTCCCTGACTTGTGAGAGTAGGCTGGGAATCAAGCCTCCACCTCCTGTGTGGCTTTAGTCACCTGAGCAGCAGTGTCTAGTGTATACTCCTAAGGCTGGACAAGGGATCATGCTATTTGTAGACTGAATTTAAGAGTTCAGAAAGATCGTTGCAACAGAAACTAATAGATTATAATGTAAATGTTGACTTGAGAGTCATTAGAGTTGTGCGGTGCTAATAAATCTTTATTTGTAGGCTGCACTGTAGTTGGTACCACTTGGTACCTGATTTTTGTTTTAAAAAAAGAAACATTATAGTTGAAATGACTGTGGTGATCTGTATTTAGTTGTGAGATTTTTAAATTATTTAAATAAAACCTCCCTTGAAATTTGTTAAACAGGAATTTAAACTGCATTCTAATATGCCTAATAGATACTCACTTGGATACTGTGGTTACTTTTTCAGTGGTTTTAAGTGTATAGGAAAGGATGCTTACTTATATTTTGGTCTCTATGTCTTTGTCTTTCCAGGGAGTGCACATGCCCTCTAGCAAAAATATCTCTTAAACAAACAAAAAAAGAGAAAGAGAAAGAAAAACAAGTCATATTCAAAGCTCCATTTTTTTTTTTCCTCTTCCCTTCTAATCCCCAATTTCTGATACTGTAATTTTGACTCTTCTGGGGTCTGTAAACATAAGGTAAATGACTAGAGGTGATCATTTTGTGCTAATTTTTCTTGACCTTTAAGGTTTTCTCCTTAAGGGACTTCATCATACACCTAAGCCATTCTGTTGAGTTTCCAGTTTTTTCTTTATTTAGCCTCACAGATGATAAATTCTTTTAGGGTTTTTGCTATGATTGTCTGTGCTCACTAGAGAGAGAAAGAGGTGAGAAAATACCTTGCAGGGGGATGGCCATGCTGCAAACCACCTGGTATGATCTTGAAGCTGCTGGACCTGGGACTTGAACTTTGATCAGTCGTATGGGAGTCCAGCACCTTAACCTCTATGCCACATGCTAGTCCCTAGATTATAACTCTTTGAGAGCTAGAGGATATCTTGTTCAACAGAGCATCTCATTTGCCATAAACAGTGCCTCGTGTTAGGTTCTTTTTTGTGGGGCGGAGGGAGAGGTTTTTGCTATAGAGCGCGTGCGCTTGCCAAACAGAGACAGAAAGCACGAAATTACCCCCCGGGGGGATGGCCACGCCGCAATCCCTTCTCCATTCTCCTCTCAGGATCTTGGGCATGCATGCACATGTGCCCTGCGTGAGTTTTAAGTTACCGGGTCTGGGTCACAAACAGTGGTCGACTACATGGGAGTCCAGTGACATAGCCATTACGCTAACTGCTGGTCCCTCATGTTAGGTTCTTAATTAATGGAAAGGAAGAGTAAACATACACTAAATAGGAAAAATGATTATTTTTTGAGTACTCAGGTTATAGATGGATATTAATCATTATTCCTTTTTTAAAAATAATTTTTAGAATTATTGTTGTTGTTGTTATTATTTTAGTTTGCTATAGGGCATGTGTGCTCACCAGAGAAAGAGCGAGAAAGCAAACTGCCAGGTCTGGGAATCACGGTCAGCGTGTGGGAATCTGGCACCTTAGTCACCTCCTGGCTTCACATTACTACTTTTAAAACCGTAAAATTCCCAGGGAAAGAAAAACACAGTCATAGTGCTGTCCCATGGAGAGTGTAATCTCTGAGTCAGCATTTTACTCTGTGCCTACTTTTCCAAAATATAAGCATTGGAATCCAATAATGTTGATAATGGTCCCCAAAGGAGGAGGATAGTGTGAATAGAAAGACTTGGTTATAATACAGTGATGCTTAGCTGGAGGCAGTACTGGGTGTTGTTGGGGAAAAAGAAGGAACAAGTACACTACTTCCTCTTGGTAATTTAGTATTTCACTAATGTAAATTACTTTGTAGTAAATGGTGCTGATTTTCTTTATTCCCATTTGTATGGCTAAAAATACCTGTTTCACAATAGTTTACAAAGATGACCTTTTTAACAATTACTATTATGTTTGCTCCCTCAGCATTTGACATTGTGCAGCAAAGAAATGGTTATGGAGAAGCCCAGTCCGCTGCTTGTAGGGCGGGAGTTTGTGAGACAGTATTATACTTTGCTGAATAAAGCTCCAGAATATTTACACAGGTAAACTTTTAAACAGTTTATTTAGTATTTTTATTTAGCTTCATTTTCTTGGGTATGATTACATATATTTTGCTTTCTTGTCTCCTCATAACCTGCCATTATCTTTGTAAATATATCTAAAACCACCATGTGCAATATTTTAACCATCTGTTTGATGGCTAAAAACAGTATTTCCCCCAATTTTTTTTACTCTGCAGCTCACTATAAGAAAAATAACTTAACATAATGTTCCAGTATATAAATTTTGCAATTTAGATGTATACACATATTTACTCTTAAGTATATATTCTGGTATTTTATATTTCACTTTCAGAAAAATGTTGGGGTTGACCGAATTAGTGGGTTAAATAGGTCATTTGAAATCAGTAGTTTTTGGGACATGAATCAGTAAAATGATTTTGCTTGTGAAAATAACATGTTTTAATCTGAAAAACAGAATTCCTTCGTAAAATAATAGCAATAGCCCTATTTGCTATTTTGGCAAGAGTTAGACATCTGAAAAGTTCATTTTTATAGCAATCGAAATGAAATAGGTTTATATAATAGGTACTGTTTGTTAATTTAGGTTCTTCTGGGTCTAAGCAAGTGGAAGATAATTGGGACTCTTGTAAGAACTTTGTGTTGTAGAACATACTAGCTGACTTAAGATAAGTATATCATTGCCACTTCATGCCAGATAAATAGGCTGTTCAAAAGACTTACATTCCTTTATCTGTAGATATTAGTATTCTAGGTATTTTTTATATACATGACTTTTTTTTACTATATTAAATTTATTTATTTATTTTAATAATAAATAAATGAGAAGGGTGGCAAGAAAGCAAGCCACCCAGTTCGGGACACAAACTGTTCAGCCATGTGGGAGTCCAGCACCCTTAACACCACATCACCGGCCAGCCCCAGTATTCCAGACATTCTAAAGTTAGATTTTGCCATTTATCTTGTTACCGTTAAACATATGTAGTGTCTACATTATTTTAGAAGGCAGTTTTATGTTTATTTGTCATTTGTTAGGCTCCCTAAGTATTTTTTATATATATACATGTATGTGTGTGTGTATGTGTATATATATGTATATATAAATTATCCCATGGAATCCCATGATGGTCTTAGAAAATATAGGTACTTTTATTATCTTGCTTTACATATTGAACAACTGAGAATAGTAAGTGATTTAGGATCACTCCTGATTAGTAAGAGGATGAGTAATTCATCCAGGATCACTCAGTAAGTAGTAAATGTAGCCAGCATTCAGTTCCAGGGCTGATCTCAGAACCCAACACTCCACTCGAATGCAGTGTATGAATGTATAACTAACATTGCTACTCTCCCACCAAAATCCAAAATGAATAGCTGTGTCTATTTCTAATTGTACAAAAAGACATTCTTGTTGACATGTATGTGAAGGAGTTAGGGAGGGAGAGAATGTAATTAATAGAGCTTTTTGATACCTGAAACTTGGTGTTTTCACAGTGTGGCTATTAGTGGTTTTTTTTGTTTGTTTTTTTGTTTTGTTTTGTTTTTGAGAGGTTTTTGCTATAGGGTGCGTGCGCTCGCCAGAAAGCGAGAAATTACCCCCCAGGGAGGATGGCCATGCTGCAATCCCTTCTCCATTCTCCTCTTGGGATCTTGGGCGGACATGCACGCACGGGTGGACATGCACACACACGTGCCCAGCATGAGTTTAAGCCACCGGGTCCGGGACTTGAACTGGGGTCGGCTAGATGGGAGTCCAGCAACATAGCCATTACTGCTGGTCCTGCTATTAGATTTTTTTTTTTTTTTTTTTTTTTTTGCTATTAGAATTTTTTGTAGTGATCAAAAAAATTAAAACTTTGAGGCCAGCAGGTAGTATAATGGTTAAGTCACTGAATTCCCACATGGCTGACTACTGTTCAAATCTCAGATCTGGCAGCTTGAAATTCACCCTGGGCACGTGTGCATGCATGCCTAAAATCCTCAGAGGAGAATGGAGAAGGGATCACAGTGTGTCCATCCTTCCAGGGAGATAATTTCTCACTTGCCCTGTCTCTGTCTCTCCAGCAAGCACATGCACTCTATGGCAAAACTTTGCATTAAAAAATAAATAAATAAAAATTAGGATTATCACTGTCATGTTCTGTAGCAGTACATACTTTGGTTATATACCTAGCTTATGTTCACATAGTTTCCATTTAATTAAAGGTTTTATGATTTTTCACTTGTTATAAACAACATTGAAATGAATATCTTTAGATATGCACTTTTGTGCACATTGCTAGTTTTTTAAAAAAGAAATATTTATTTAATTCATTTGTTATTTATTTTTTTTTATTTGACCAGAGAGAGAGAGAGAAGGCAAGAAAACAAGCTGCTAGGTCTGGGACATGAACCACGGTTGGCCATGTGGGAATCCAGTGCCTTTAACCACCACACTACCTGCTGGCCTCTTGCTAGTTATTTTCTTAGAATAATTTCGTGAAAGAATTGTATCAAAGGTATTATTTCCAAGGCTTTTTGTGTCCATACATGTACTCTAATTGTCCTCCAGAAAAATACTGTCACTTAACATGCTTGCCCGTAGTATATGAAAGAAAATAATACAAGTTAAAAAGTATTTCATGGGGTTGTTAAAACTCAGGAGGCAAAATGTATGGTTCTTGTCTTAGCTGCCCTGCTTGATAGGTGTATGACATTACAGGAGTTAATTTAACCACTTCTGAGCCTCAGTTTGCTCATTTAGATAATAGAACTTCTTGATGTTATTAAGAGAATTAAACCAGTATGCATAATGTACTGAGCACAGTGCTTGGCTCAGGAAGCTTTTGCATGTTTCATTACTGTAGGAACTGAGTTCTCTGAAAAAGTTAACTTTTATAACAACCTCAGTTTAGAAAGATGTTAATGAATGGGGCTAGCAGGTGGTGTGGTGGTTAAGGATGCTGGACTCCCATAGGGTGACTGTGGTTTAAGTCCCAAACCTGGTGGCCTGCTTTTTTGCATTCTCTCTCTCCCTCACTCATTCTCTCTCTTCCCCTCCCCTGTCTCCCTCTCTGGCCTTTTTTTTTTTTGGAGAGGTTTTTGCTATAGGGCACATGCACTCGCCAGAAAGAGAGACAGAAAGCAAGAAATCATCTCTCCAGGGTATGGCCACGCTGCAGTCCCTTCTCCACCATTTTCCTTTCAAGGTCTTGGGCCTGCATGGACATGTTCCTGCCATGGGTTTAAACCACCAGGTCTGGGTCTCGAACTGCAGTTGACTACATGGGAGCCCAGCAACATAGTCATTACGCCAATTGCTGATCCCTCTGGGCAAAAAAAAAAAAAAAAAAAAAGTTAAAGTAATTCTTTAAAAAAAGATATTAATCCTAATTGCTTTAGGTAATGCCAGAGAAAGACTATTTTATCATTTATTTTAAGAGTAAAATACTAATGAGGAATTAGATGCTGAGGGAATTGTAGATTTTGAGTTGATTTCTAAATAATTTTTAACTATTTAAAATATAAACGGTTTCAATCTGAGCCTTTGGAAGTAGTAATTACTTGGAACACTTAAGTAGAATATCTGACTCAAATCTAGATAACCGAGTTTTTTTTGTATTTGAAAGGAAAAAAATGAGTCAATTACTATACCATCTGTATTTATGATGTATTTTATAATGTGTTTTGACTGTCTTCTTCCACTTAAGAAATAGATGTGATAAGAATTAAATGAGAATAGCTAATGGTTGAATATCTTCTTAGTATGCCTAATACACTAAGCATTCTGTGTGCATTAGTCTTTTAATCCTTACACAACCCTCTGGAATCGTTAATGCTTATGTTTTATAAGCAAAGAAACTGAACTTAAAGACCTTAATTAACCTGCTCAAGAACACAAAGTAATTAGTGTTAGAGCTGGACACAAAACCTAATCTGATACCAGAACTCCACTAATACATCTCTTTTTTTTTGGAGAGGTTTTTGCTATAGGGCGCGTGCACTTGCCAGAGAGACAGAAAGCGAGAAATCACCCCCCAGTGGGGATGGCCACGCCGCAATCCCGTTTCCTCCGCTCTCATCTCAGGATCTTGGGCATGCACGCACACGTGCCCAGCGTGAGCTTTAAGCCACCGGGTCTGGGACCCGAACCACGGTCAACTACATGGCAGTCCAGCAACATAGCCATTATGCTATCTGCTGGTCCCTACATCTCTTGAAAATTTATTGTCACTTTTGTGCTAGAGGGGATGGTGGAGGTGGATGTGAGTAAGGTAGAAAGGGAGGGGAACATTTGAACAACAACAACAAAAAGTTCCCTGTTGAAAAAAATATATTGCATACCTCATGATGGGGTCTTGATATGAAACTAATAAAAATAAATAACATTTTAAAAATCATTGTTGTCTGTGGTTTTGTAGGTTTTATGGCAGGAATTCTTCCTATGTTCATGGTGGAGTAGATGCTAGTGGAAAGCCCCAGGAAGCTGTCTATGGCCAAAATGTAAGCATCAATTTTGTACGTTTTAGGTTTTTTATGTGTTAAGGTAGAGATTTTAAAAATAATGTTGTGCCCATGAAATTCTTTTTAATATAATTATTAAAACTGGAATATGTGTGTCAATAATTATCATATATATGCTTTGAGTTCTTTTATTTATTTATTTGCTATAGGGTACATGGCGATGGCCATGCTGCAATCCTTTCTCCTCCATTTTCCTCTCTGGATCTTGGGCATGTGTGCACAGGCACCCGGCATGAGTTTAAGCCACTGAGTCCAGGACTCAAACTGCGATCGACTACATGGGAGTCCAGCGACTTAGCCATTATTCTATCTGCTGGTCTCATGCTTTGAGTTCTTAAACACTGATTTTTTGTCTCAAGTATGATAGCACTTTGGGATGGATACAAAGGAGAAAATGAGATTTTTTTTTTCCTTAGGGCATATGTGCCAGAGGGAATAAGTATTTTGCCAGAGGGACAGAGAACGGGAAAATGAGAAATCTTGGGGACAGCCATACTATAGTCCCTTCTCTTCCAGCCTCTTTAGGTTTGGGGCACGTACACACATGCTCTTGATTCAGACTGCTGTCAGCCATATGGGAGTCCAGCACGTTAACTACTACATCACCTGCTGGCCCCCACTAAGGAAGTTCTTTTTTTTCTTTTCTTTTTTTTTTTTTTTTTAACCAGAGATGTTTGCAATAGAGTCACCATAGAGACAGAGACAGGGACAGAAAACAAGAAATCCACACTCCTCACCCCCCAGGGGTGGATGGCCGTGCCACAATCTGTTCTCAGGAGTTTGGGAATGCACACACTCAAGCCCAGCATGAGTTTTAAGCTGCCAGGTCTGGGACTAGAACCGCAGTAAACTGGGAGTCCAGCGATGTAACCATTACACCACCTGCTGGTCCAAGAAAATGGGAAGTTTTAATATCCATGCTCTAGTTTACACATGAAATAATTGAGACAATGTACTTAGTTTATACAAATGTGTGCAAAATCATGTGTTACAGAAATACATATGCTCCTTATGACTTAAGGAAGAAAGACATTGTAGGGGATGTGGGACTTCTGTTAGACTCTTCTAAGATCTTCTAAGATACTGGATTTTTGGCTTTACAGAAGAAGAAATTCGAAGTAGAAAAATGGCATCAGCAAACATACAGTAAAGTAAAATTAGGTTGAGGTCAAGGAGCAGGCAGCATGGCGTATGAGGATGGCAAAATACTTATTCCAGGCAAGTGGGAAAAAGTATAAAACACAGATTACTGTTGGATATCAGAGAGCCATTACAGTGCCTTGTATAGATAGGTGACGTGTTGAAAGTGGTAGTTTAGGAGCATGATCTAGCAATAGTACATAGCTTGGAGTGGATTCAAACATGGAAGGAAAGATGAAGGAAATTGCCTTCTAGAGTTGTGAGGAAATCTGTGACGGTAGGTAATAGAATTGTGCAGGTTATGCAGTTTCACAAGAGTTTGTATTTTCCCTCTCTGCTCCCAATAAAGGATATACACCACAAAGTATTATCTCTGAACTTCAGTGAATGTCATACTAAAATTCGCCATGTGGATGCTCACGCAACATTGAGTGATGGAGTGGTTGTCCAGGTCATGGGCTTGCTGTCTAACAGTGGACAGCCAGAGAGGAAGTTCATGCAAACATTTGTTCTGGCCCCCGAAGTAAGTTTTCATTTATTTCACTTCGTTTTTATTTATATAATTTTAATTTGGTTCTTATTGGTTGAAGTGTCTGGTAATTTCTTCTGATAGAATTAGATTTGCATATTTGCTATTTTCTAGAAATTGTGTTGGACCTATTGATAGAATTTATTTGAGCTTGTATGAGTGTATGTGGGTATTCATACATGCTTTGACTGTTTGGAATTAAAATTCAGATACTGATAAAACTGTGTGTATTGGTTAAGATCCCAGAAATAATTTAAAGCGTACATTGCTAAATTGTAAAGGTTACATTTTGAAAACGAAACAAAAAGTTTTGTTTATTTATCGGTCATGATTCTTTCTGTTGATAGGTCCTGGTCCAGATTCTTTTCTATTGAGTTGCTGTTTTCTTGAGTTTGAGTATTCTTTGAGTGATCTTTTAAAATTTACTTGATATTAACATCATAGCATAGTAGGCTGTGGAAAATTACATTGAGTCCAGATTATTATTCTGGTATTAAAATTGAAGTTATTTATACATATAATTTGTTCTTTTTAGGTAATACCAAATTTATGGATATTTATGGAATATTTGCATGTTGTTTTCCTATAGGGATCTGTTCCAAATAAGTTTTATGTTCACAATGATATGTTTCGTTATGAAGATGAAGTGTTCGGTGATTCTGAACCAGAACTTGATGAAGGTGAGGTACTTTGAAGATAGAAGAGTGTTGTGAATCTGAGTGTTGTGAATCTTCTTTAAGAATTTTTTGTTATTAAGTATGAAACTGTTTATAGAAATTAGCCTTTTCATTATAATTTGAACACCCTTCTCTCAACTTTTTTCAATTTTTTAAATTATAAAATAGATGGGGGCCAGTCAGATATCATGGTTATTGTGGTGGCTGGATCCCCCATCCCTGACCACGGTGTAAGTCCTGGGCTACGCTTGAAAAACAACACCAGGCATATGTGCGTATGTCTCCAAAGTCCCCAGAGGATAAGAAGAAGGGATTGCTAAGTGGTCACATACACACACACACACACACACACACACACACACACTCACTCTCTCTCTCTCTCTCTCTCTCTCTCTGTCCGGATGTTGACTTTCCCTTTCTTTATCTCTCTTTTCCTCCCTCCAGGGAGCTCATGCACCCTGTAGCAAATTTAAAAAGGAGAAAAGAAACAGATGTTTGTTATAAAGTTATATTAGAATTGTCCATAGTGAGTATGTATCAAAAACTCAAGAGTTTGGCACCTGTTACAGGATTATTATTATTTTTTAAAATTTGCTATAGAGCCCTTGTGCTTGCTGGGGAGGGAGAGAGAGAAGAAAAATGAAAAACACTCCAGTTTATGTGCACTCTACAATACCTTCTTCACCAGTCTCCTTTTGGGATTTTGGACATGCACACACCTATGCCTGGTGTGTTTTTCAAGCCACCAGGTTCAGGACTTGTACCATACAGTTGACTGTGTGGGATCCAGCAGTTTTAACCACCACACTACTTGCTGGCCTCCCTCTTACAGAATTTTTTGCTTTTGAATCTTAGACTTAACACGTTTTTTAAAATGGAATTCTGCTTACTCAAAGTTTATTTTTTTTTTATTTAATGATAACATACTTGTTGGCTCTTCACTTTGAAGCTATACCCTCATTATTAAGTTGATTTTCCACTGCTATGCATTGGTTTGTATCCTTTTTTTTGGGTAATTGCCAGAGAGAGTGTGCACTTGGGGTGGGGGGAACATCCTGCAGTGGGACCTGGTCACACTGTCCCTTCTCTTCCGTTTCTTCATCCTGTTAGGATTTGGGGCACACATATTCCCACACTCAGCACAGACTTTCAAGCTACCAAGACTGGGGTTTGTCTCCCTTACAAGGCCACTGTATTGGCCTTGTGTCTACTATTATTGCTTTATCAAATAGATGTGACATGGAGCCGGCAGGTGGCATGGTGGTTAATGAAGCTGGATTCCCATATGGCCAACTGCAGTTCAAGTCCGGACCTGGCAGCTTGCTTTCTCACTTTCCCTCTTTCTCTTTCGCTCTGTCCCTCTGGTCAAATTAAAAATAAATAAATGAATAAAGTTAAATAAGATAATTTTTTACAAAAACAAATGTGACAAAAGAAACTCTATTATGGTTCTCAAATAGTTTATTTCCTACCTTTTTTTCTTTTTCTTTTTTTTTGTTTACTCAGATCTTTTAAAAACAGAAAGCAGTAAACACCAAACTTCATCCAGCCTTGGTCTCCTCAGTTTTTTCAGAGACTAGGGAATACTGCAATTAAATGCCTTTGTTTATATTATACCATACCACCTTAAGTTTATTGAAAATATGTGTTAGAAATTATTGAGTTTCTTTTAAAAAGATTTGATGTGTTATGTATTGTCAGAATCTGAAGATGAAGTAGAAGAGGAACAAGAAGAAAGGCAACCATCTCCTGAACCCGTGCAAGAAAATGCTAACAGTGGTTACTATGAAGCTCACCCTGTGACGTAAGAATAGTGGTTGCAAAGTTAAATTTGGTCTGAACTTTAATGTAGTTGCAGGATGGTTTTTTTTCTTAGAAATGTTCAGAGTAAAGTTTTGATAATACTACTTACTAGACCAGTATTTGAATACCTGTTACATATACAATTGATTCTTAACACAGGAGTTAGAGGTACTGAACTCCCATGTATTCAGGAATCCACATATGAGGTCAGCAGGTAGTTTGGTTAAGGTGCTGGCCTTCCACTTGGTCAGTTGTGGTTCAAGTCCCAGACCTGGTGGCTTCCCTTCTTGCTTTCTTTCTCTGGTGAACATAGTAGTCTGCAGCAAATAAAGAAATAATGATGTTGATAAACAAGTAAATAATTCTTTTTTTAAAAAGTCCTCATCGAGGACCAGCAGGTGGTGTGTTGGTTAAGGCGCTGGACACTTTCACGTGGCTGACCACAGTTTGAGTCCTGGATCTGGGTATTGCTTTCCTACTTTCCCTCTCTCTCTGGTCAAAATTAAAATAAGTAAGTGAATAAATAAAATAATTCTTTTTAAAATTCTCTAATAATTTTTGACTCCCCAAAAACTTAATTATTCACCCCCCAGGGGGGATGGCCACGCCGCAATGCCTTCTCCATTCTCCTCTTGAGATCTTGGGCACGCACGCACACGCGCCTGGTGTGAGTTTTAAGCCACTGGGTCCGGGACTCGAACCACGGTTAACTACATGGGAGTCCAGCGACATAGCCATTACACCAACTGTTGGTCCCCCCAAAATCTTAATTATTTACAGCAATTTATTGACCTGAAATCTTACAGATAACATAATTGGTTAACACATATTTTGTATGTTTTATTTACAGTAGTGTTAGATGAACTAGACAAAAGAAAATGTTAGAACAAAGAGAAAATTTATTTACAGTGTATTGAAAAATATCTATGTATGAATGTACCCATTGAGTTCAAACTTGTGTTGTTCAAGGGTCAGAAATTGGTAAAGAAGTTTTACTTAATTCAAAAATTAAATGTTTTTTACACCAAAACACTGATCACTTACTGATGATACAGGGTGTTTAGGACACATAGGGTGGATGGACATTCTGTCTTTTATAGAAATATAGGATTTATAATTGGTTCTACAGTAAACATTTATATTATTAGAAGTGATCATTTTACATATATTGAAAATGAACAATTTTATTGTAGAAATGGCATAGAGGAGCCCTTAGAAGAGTCCTCTCATGAGCCTGAACCTGAGCCAGAATCTGAAACAAAGACAGAAGAATTGAAACCACAAGTGGAGGAGAAGAACTTAGAAGAGTTAGAGGAGAAGTCTACTACTCCTCCTCCTGCGGAACCTGTTTCTCTGCCACAAGAACCACCAAAGGTTAGATGAAAGGAACTCTTGAGACCTATAATATCATACTTCCATATTTGGTGGCCATTAATGACTTTTTTCTATTACGTTAAAATTTTTAATATAGCATCCTTTTTAAATTTATATGAAAAGAAGCTGTGAATTTGTTATCCGAGGAAATTTCATTCCCCCCTCCAAAAAAAGTACCTGAGTGAATTTATAACTTAACATTAATCTGTCTTTATGCAATGTTTAGTAATGTACATAAAATTATTTGGGTCCATTGTATAAGGCTGTCAGTTGCTCTTTCATTCTGTATTAAATTCTCTAAGCACAGATGTACCAGGAGTCTTGCAGTTTTCCCAACTTAAAACAAGTTGGTCAATAATTAAAGAAGAGATGCCTGTTGTTTGTGGTTTAAATGGAATCAATTTCCTTACAACACCAATTAAACTATCTTGGAAAGATGAGTGACACTCATAGTGTATCATGTAAGCCTACCTAAAACTTCTTTTATCTTTCTGTAATGTAGAAGGTTAAAGTATATGGTAGTGAGAGGAGATTTCCTTGTTCAATTCCTGAATGTCTGTTAAGTTTCCAGCTAGTTCTCTTCTTTCTTATCCTTCCCTTTTCCCCTTAACACCATCTCACACCCTCTCTTCTCCACAAGAGGGAAAGAAATTGGTTCTATTAGGTTCAGATTTTTCTAGCATGTTTAGTTGTTAGTGGTTTTGTTTGCCACTTGCTCATCTACCTAGAGTATGTAGGAACTTGATTGTGGTTTATTTAGTAGTTCAGACAAAACAGTTATAAATAATCTTGCATAATGAGTTTTGAAAGTTGGCACATAGACTGGCATGTGTGTGTGTGCCCTTCTTCTAGGAGTCCTTTAATATAGAACAATAGCTTAGAAATTAAAAGAAAATATTTATTTGGAAGTTTCCCTGTAGGAATGTTGGTGGTTTTCCATGATTAGTAGTCTAGGTTTGTTGCATTTCCTGCAGGCTTTCTCCTGGGCTTCAGTGACCAGTAAAAACCTGCCTCCTAGTGGTACTGTTTCTTCCTCTGGAATTCCACCCCATGTTAAAGCACCAGTCTCACAGGTAACCAATCTGTGAACACATTGGATTGTATCCTTGTTACATTGCCAATTGCCTTTTTATAAAATACTTTTTAAAAATGACTCAATCAGAAATTATGGATTGAATATACAAAAGAAATTGTATTTAATGTCAGTACACCCACTTTAAATGCCAAATCTCCATTCATCATCTACATAGGTGGTATTTGGGGTTTGGGTGTGTGAAATACAGATTAAGTTGGTTTTACCAACCTATATACTATTTTTATTTTGAAGGCTTCTTAAAATAACAACAAAAACTGTTCCTTTTTAAAAAAGTTTTAAATTTAATTTAGCTACAACATTTTAGGTAAGAGATTTGGAAAGGCACAAAGTAGTATGGTGTCATGAAGAATCACTGTTTAAAAAAATTTTTTAACAACGCCACTAAAGCTCTCAGTCTGTAAGTGGTTCACACCATTTAATTGAAGCCTGTACCAACTTATGACTGTAGTGTTCACCTTAACTGATCATACTAGTAACCTGCTTTTTGTCTGTTTGTCATCTTACCCATTTCAGAGCTTTTAAAAATAGAAAAATTAGGCACTGGTACTTCAGATGTTTGTTAGCTGTAGTTCAGAATTAACTGAATCCTAAATTAAACTTACAGGCATAAAGGGTTTTCAGTTCTTTTCTCTATATTGAGTTAAACTTCATTCCACTAGAAGATTTACATTTAAAATGGTTACTGTATACATCTTTTACATGCTCTGAGCAGTGAAACTTTGAGGTTTCAAAAGGAGCTAGTAGTTATTAGGTGCGGTCTTTATATTATAATCACCTACATAATAGAAAATGCAGTCCTACGATAGCACTTCGTTTCAGTTCAGTATTCAGGAACTGATGAGTTGTTGCCTTAGTTCACAAACCGGAGTTCCATCTTAATGAGGAAAAGCTAGTTTGCCTAGTATTTCTTGTGCTTTTCAGTCGTCTGTAGACGTGATGAGTGACTTGTGACTTTTCTTTTGAAATCTTGATTTTTCTGTCATATTTGGAACCTTTGGAATCCTACATTTCAGAGCCTCTGCTACATATATTTTAAAATAATTAAAAGATAAAATAATTAATGATTATTACAGTTTCAGTAGTTGCTAGGCATTGTGCTAAGCACTTTATTTTGATTCTCATTGAATTCTCATCACCACTATCTGAGGGTAGGTACCATCATTTCCATTTTACAGGTAGGAAAATTGAAACCCAGAATAAATCCCACAATCATAGACTTTATGCAGTTGGGCATTCAGAGTCCGTATTTGACTCACGTGTATCTACGCATTTCTTTGGTCCCTTGCTACTGGAGGGTAAAGTAAGCATCTCTATTCACATCAAGGAAAAGTGTTGTATTTGAGGCATACTTAAATTACACTAGATTCCTGCCTCTCACCTAGGAGAATAACTATTCATATGCCTACAGTAATTTTTGAAGTTATTTTTCAAATTATAGGAAATGAGGGCCAGCTGGTGTCTTGGTGGTTAAGGCACAGGATCCCACATGGCCTACTCAGCAGTTGTTCTGGAGCCCTTGGCCTGCAAAACATGCTGGACACATGGTCATGCATGCCCATAATCCTGAGAAGAGAATGGAGAAGGGATTGTGGTGGTGGCTAGCCACCCTAGGGAATGGTTTCTCACTTTCCCTCTCTGATCCCTCTCTGACTATCTCCATGTGCTGTATGGCAAAAAAAAAAAATCTTTTTTAAAAAAGAAATTATAGGACATTAGGTTGTATTTCCCACCTCATCCCGTTAATAAACCACAATTTTGGGACCAGCAGATGGCATAGTGGTTACATCACTGGACTCCCATGTAGTCTACTGTGGTTCAGATTCTGGACCCAACTGCTTAAAACTCATGCATACTGGGCGTATGTGCATGTGTGCCCAAAATCCCAAGAGAATGGAAGAGAGGGATTGTGGTGTGGCCATCTCCTCGTTTTCTTTCTGTTTCTCCAGCAAGCGCACACACCCTACAGCAAAAATCTCTCTTAAAAAAAAAAAAAAAAAAAAAAAAGAGATAAAGCCAGAATTTTAAACACTTGAACAAAACAACCTTCTTTAGGTCCTATTTAGAATCAATTCAGATATTTCCATTTGCATTAATAACCTTTCAGTTTAATTTTGTTACTTTTGTATAGTATTCATTTTCATACACTTTTAACATGAAAGGAAATTAAATTGAAATTTTAGTGTATTCTTAGGCATTTGCTTAGAAGTAGATAGGTTAGTTTCTTGGTGAAGGCTTTGTCTGGAAACTGACTAGTTCATCTAACTAGCCTGTGTTTAATTGAATGACTTGTTTATTGGTCGTGGTTACACCTGCGTTTATGGACTTGATTTGATAGTTTCATTTTAATTTCAGATTCTGTTTGACCTTCATTTGTGAGATTTGTCGTGTGATACTTTCTGGTTATGTGGAGTTATTTTAAGACCCTATTAGTAGTATGTGGTATCTTGGCCATTTTATCTGTTAGGAATAATTAGTTTTAATCATGATGGTAGGCTTGAAGAGTTGTTAAGTACAGAGGTGACTTAGTTGACATGATAATCAGTTTTTGAAAGGAACATTGTTTCTTTGGTCTCATTTTTCTTGCACTTGCATCATCAAATATCCACTTAAAAGTCAGATTGTTAAATTAGTGTCATGAATTATTTGTAAGATGTTGGAGATTATTTAAATTTATCTCTTGAAATTGAAATCCTTAAAGGATTAGAAGAACTTTATTTTGTTGCTTATCATTATTTTTGTTTTGTCAATCTGTTTTGAAAAGAATTTAAATCAGTCTAAGACCAGGGCCTCAAGTTCTTTGATAACATTTGAATTGGATGACTGTAAGGTGTTTTTGCAATGTTTAAATACAAGGTTCATGTGTTACTTTTATTAATTTCCAGGAGTACACTAGCTTTATTAAACTTGTGAGCAGAGTATATCTATTTTAAAATTATGTTTCACATTCATACAAGTTGAAATTTCTGAATAAATTCCCCTTTTCAGGCATCACATTTTAGATAAAATAGATCAGCATATGAGTAGA